CAACCACAAACTAAGAATATTAAGAAAAAAAAACTTCTGCTCCCTCTTATTTAATTTATTAAAAAACGTTTTTTTTTTTTTTTTTTTGGCTGAATTGAATATAGTTTATCTCGACCCCACTGGGCACAAGGGTGTACAGAAAATGGATGGATGGATGAATATAGTTTAAACTAAAATTCAGAATTACTTGCTGCCCTACAAAGCCTTGCAATAGTATTTATGTCCTTTTAGTCACATTACAGCAAGAATTTTATTGAGATTTATGTAATTAACCAACATGAAGTGATGAATAATTGTGTAAGAAAAATTATACATGATTTTACAATAGAAATCTAAAAAGGTAGACAAAACATCTGGGAAAAAAAAACAAAAACCTTGTGGCCCTACTGCCATGTGCAGAAATACACAGCTCAGTCAGAACCAACCAATCAGAGCCAGGAGGAGGGTCTTAGTGCAATTTAAAAATGACAAAATATATTTTCAAAACGTTTTTAATGTTGGAAGTTCTCCTAAAATTACAACTTCATTCTCCTAAAACTTCTTAAGAATTTATTTGGGACATTTTACTATTTAATTCAATTGTTTAAAAGTATATTTCATTATTTAATGCCAAATTTATTGACATATTTTTTTTTTATTTCATCAACAGTTCACATTTAATTATGTAATGTAACAGTTATTCATTTGTTTTTTTCCTATTTTGACCCTTCATGAACTTCAGCGGTCACATTGTGATGATTCAGAAAATAATGTGTTGACCCTCCAGTTGGTGTCTCGTGACCCCCTGGGGAGCCCGGATCCCCACTTTGGGAACCCCTGCTTTACATGGTTGAGGACAAACTGCAAATAGGAATTTCTATGACTTGTTTTTAACTATAAATGCAGGATTTGGTGAAGTGCATGGATAGCAGACAGATTCTCCTACCTGAGCGGTGAATCTCTGCTGCTCCTCCAGAGTAGCAGAGATTCACACGTGTTCGTAATGCAACACATGGACTCTTATCAAAAAGGTGCCAACTTTGGTTGCACTGCACATGCACAGTTCTGAGGGTTTTATTTGTAACGCTTTAAAGATGTTTTATCGTCAGCAGAGCTTCTTATCGCAGACACATGAATTCGATCTGAAAACGTAAACAAAATAACTTTGTTGCAGTTTTAAAGCCGCTCCAGTTACTCACCGACTTCCCTCTTTCCTCCGGCCGCCAGCCGCCTTCCTGTCCTTCCTGTCGGGGGCAGAATCGTCGCGTTTCACGTTTCTCTTTTTCATCGTTTAACTGCAGTAATTCTTCCCTGCTGAGGGTTTTTAACAGTCTGGTCAGGCCATTGCACTTTGACCGACTCCAGATTTTATCAGAGCGGATTTCATTAAACTCCAGGAAAAGGGAGGGATCCAGGATTTTAAGGTGGCACCGCTGCTTCTCTGGTAAATGTGCTGGACGCACTACTAATGCTCGTGTGGCTACCTTAAACGAATTACATAATCTGAAAAGTTACAGGAAATAGAGCAGTAGTTTGGATTATATGTATTTTGATGAAGAAATGCTGTAGATCGATTTGGCATTGCATATTAAACGGCCTTTAAAAAAAACAAAAGCAAGTTTAAAAAACATTCAACGAACATCTTATAATAAGCTTCTCTGTTGTGGAGCAAAATGTTTGCACTGTCATAACAAACCTAGTTTTCTTTCTTACAATAATACTGTTTTAAAATATCAGCAAATACATGGACATTTTCCCTTTATCCCTATTTTATCTCCTTTAAAGTTTATATATTTGTTGTGTTGTGTCTCAAAACCTCATTCAAATAATTTGCTTGTGAAAACAATCTTGACCAATAAAGCTGAAAGGAGGAAACAATCAATGAGTTACTAGAGCGTTTTTCTGATTATGTAAATCAAAGTGCAACAAGAGGAAATGTTTGTTTTATAACAGCAGTAAAAACCCAGCGTCAGATTTCCTGCAGGTGTTTTCCCCTGTGGATGTTGGTCCTCTGCAGGACGGTGCTGCGGCTTCCTCTCAGTCCAGAAACCTGCATGTTGTGTCCTGCAGGTTCCTGTGATAAATCAGTGATGATGTTTCAGAACAGAACAACATGAAGTTAATATAAAACAGGAGGAAAGAGGCTACAAAGATCACAGCAAGCAGTTTACAGATGCAGAAACATTTGTTTCCAGCCCTGGTACGAATTTTTTAGAAGATTTCAGTCTTTCATTTAAAAACATTTATTGAGAAGGTAGACAAGACACCAAGCCAAGGAATAACAGTTTTTAACAAAATCATTTGGGACATGTGTTGGTGACCGCCACATTATTTTGAAATTGATGTAACTTCAGTATTTTTATGATTTATTCTTTACTTTTTAAATTGACCAGTCTCTATGAACTTTTGCTTCCTTTGGGGTATAAATTGACTTCACAGAGGATTACAGGAGAAGACCAAGTGCTGTCAAAGTTCCTGTCCTACATGTCTGTTAACTGGATACACTGCAAAAACAGAAAATCTTATTTCTGGTGTTTCCAATGAGAATATTTTAGTGCATTTAAACTAAGACAAAAATAAGTTACAAATAACTTTTCAGTAAGATATAGGAGCTGGTTTTAGGTCAATAATTCCTGATTTTGAAAAAAAAAAAGAACTGGTTATTCACTTAAATTATCTCACTTATAACTTGGGGAAATGTCTTCTTATGGAAATAATCTGCCAGTGGAATCAGAACTTTTTCATCAATATTAAGGAATTATTGACCTAAAACAAGCTCATGTATCTCGCTGAAAAATTATTTGAGTTATTTTTGACTTTTTTCTAGTGTGCTAAGATATTTGCTCTAGAAACCAGACCAAAAAAATGTGGTAATATTTGTGGTTCGGCAGGGCAATTTTATATCTAATGACACTAAACTGATTTATTTAATCCACCAGAGCTTCGTCATGATACTCGACAGAGCCGACCGGGACAACAAGCACAGTCAGAAAATCACAGCAGAAAATCTGCAGGATAAGATAATTTTATCCTGCAGAGAGGATAAAAGGCCACAGCTGTATGTACACTGCAAAAAAAAAAAATTAATGTGCCGAAATATTTTTGGTCTAGTTTCTAGTAAATACTTCAGTACACTTGAAATAAGACAAAACTAACTGAGATATAGGAGCTTGATTTAAGTCAGTAATTCTTGATGAGTATAGATATAGGGTGCTAGTTCCACACTGGTAGATTATTTCACTAATAAGACATTTTTTCTGTTATTAGAGAAATAATCTGCACATTTTCATCAAAATTCAGAAATTACTGACATAAAACAAGCTCCTCTATCTTCCTGAAATGTTACTCATGAGTGAGTTTTGTCTTCTTTTAAGAGTACTGAGATATTTGAACTAGAAAGTCAACAGAAAACTCTTTGTAGGATTTTGTGTTTTTGCAGTGTGGAATAAACAGAGGCTGTTACAGATGATCAGTTCAGTAATTGTGTGGCTCGGCCCGGATGAGTGACCCAACAGAGAGGACGTTGGCTCTGGCAGAGCCCTCAGGATCCTGGTGACTCAGATACACACCAAAGGTCACCTACAGTTCACAAAAATAAACTTATTAGACAATATTTTCAAGCACTTGCTCAATAAAACCAACAAACAGCACGGAGGTGACTGTGACTGTTTTGAACCCACCTTCCCGGTCCGGTATGCAGACAGACTGATGAGCGGCTCTTTGGTTTTGGTTCCGGTGTCCTGGTCTACTCCAATCATCTGGCACCTCCCGCAGCGACCTGCGACCTTTTGGTTGGCCACACAGAGAAGTTCATTTCACTCCTGCTTCCACCAGGTGTTCTGGAAAATGTCCCCTCTGCTCACCATGAACCGTGTGTCGCCAATAATCAAGTGTGACCAATTATCCTCCTCAAAGGGTTCTGCTCCAGCGATGACTAAATTGGCGCGGAAGCGGCTGATGACGCTCTGCGTGTGGAGGAGCTGATGGCCCTCACAGCCGTCCTGCCTGCGGAGGGGAGCGTGTGTGGAAATTACATGCCATTTTTCCCCGCGCTGCATCAAAAGAGCCACTGTGATGTAAATGTGCGGACGTCAATGCGTCCCGGAGCGAGGAATAAAGTGTTGTGTGTTCCAACCTGCTGCTCATTAGATCCTGAATGAGCGCCACGCTGGCACGGTTGATCATGAGATACTGAGCTTCGTTCACCAGGGAGAGGAGCGGGGAGTCGGCAGCTAGAGAAGAAAGACTTTATATCACCCCGAAGATTTGTTTCATTTCAGGAAAAACATTCTCATTTACAGTTTCTGCAAACTCCTTCCACAGAGAAACCGTAAAAAATGAAGTCTTACGCTGATTGGTGGATAAAAAGGTGATTTGAGTAAATTCATCAATGCTGATCAAATGTTTACTGGGAAAATATAATATGAGAGGGAATTATGAGTGAGACAGAAACATCAGTCATGAATATGTTTCCCTTCCAGCAACAAAGAGGAGCTACAGGACTATTTTTTCACATTTTGTCACATTACAACCACAAAAGATAATGCAGGATTTAAAGGATTTTGAGATTGTTCTTATGATCAAAATCACAGACTTTGTGGTTCTACTTTAGAAATATTTGCTATACTTTACCCCTTCCAAAATCTCCATGCAGAAATAGAAATACGAGAAAATAAAATAAGCACACAGACTGGACAGATAGTCAGATAGCAGCTTTAAAGAATGTGGACTGGACAGAAACTGGACATTATTTCTGTCCAGTCCACGTTCTTTAAAGATGCTTTATGTAACAAAGTTTTTTATGTATTTGTTAAAATTAGTTTGTTATGAGACAGATCTGTAAAAAGTTTGATCTCCTCCACCTCCTCCCTGAGCTGCTGCTGCTGTTTGAAGACATTTACCACGCTGTCCATAAGCCTCCTGTACTTGCTGCTAAATGTGCCTATGGCAGAGAAACAACTTAACCATTACAGGAAAAACATTTATCTGTCCTCAGTGGCGGCCATGCTAACTAGCCTTAGCATTCACAGTAGGCTCTGCTAGCTGCACAGCCAACGCGCAAAGGGGTGATTGACAGCGATAAGACCCGCCTCCTGTCTCTGATTGGTTGTTTCTGGTTAGACAAAGGAGCTACATTTTTTTCAGATTATTTGTCTCAATCCTCCTGACAAAAAAGGCACCGTCCGCAACTTTACAGAACTTTGATTTTCGTTACTCGCCACATCGATCACAGATGACATCAAGTAAAACTGAAGCAGCAGGACTAGCAGTGAGAAATACTGCCACCTGCAGGTGGGAGTCTGCATCACTTAAACCCAATGTTTTTGACTATTAGGTTTATTTGCAATAAATCAACGGAAACATTTTCGAGAATTGCAGAAAATCCATAAAAAGTCCTGTTTGTAAATCAAGAGCTAATAAACTGAAATCTGAGAGTTTTTCTTTAGGAGCTTTTGGAACTACAGCATCATACTGTGGGGATCATTTTCTCCAGCAGAGACAGGAAACTGGTCAGAGCTGATGGGATGATGGATGGAGATAAAGATGAAGGGAAACCAGCTGGAGAAAATGGAGACGGAGTCAGAGTTTTACCTTCCAGCCACACAACAAAATCCAAACATGCAGCCATTCAGATAAAAGCATTTTAGAATGGCCCAGTCAAAGCCCAGATATTGACCTACTTGAGAATTTGTGGCAAGATTAACACAATTTATGACACTCTCTGCCCAGTCTTTTAGTAAAGAAGAACCTGCAGCACAAGGTGGGTTTGTATCTGTGATGTACTCGGCACAGGAAGGCTGGCTGCAAATGCCTGCCACACTTTTCAGATTTTGTATTTTGTAAAACATTTAAAAAATAATGTTTCCACTTCCCATTGAGATGAATAACAATAATGTTTGTAAATATGAGGTTAGTAAATGAGAAAAAGATCTGAGGATAAAAATACTTTCTTAAGAAACCATGAAAGGAGAATTCAGGTTCCATATATGTGTTTCAAATTAATAAATCTCTTTAATGTGCAGCCATCTTTCTTAATGTGCAACGTCCCAAACAGCGGCCCAGTGCCGACATAAATGCTGAGGATTTTTCTCCTGGGGGATGAACGTCTCAACTTGTGAAAACAGGAAAGTTTGGTGAGTTAAAGCCGAGCGGATCGCCAAGATGACGCCATCCCGACTATCTCAGGCTGAGTCTGAAGACAAAACACTGAAAAGAAAGCCTGGATTACAAATGACGAAAGACACGGGTCTGCTCCAGTAATGGAGGATCAGCGAAAAGGATGTATCTATTGCATTGTGGGTAAATGAAGGGTGGAAGAAATATTCGATTTCTTTAAGCTTAAGCTGGAAAAAGACTTGCGGCAGAAGCAACGATTTCAGAATATACGCTCTCTACTCTCGATAAGCTCCTGAAGAAAAACTCTCAGGGTTCAGTTCATTAGCTCTCGATGGGAAAAAAGCCATCTTACATTTATTTTTTAAAAGTTTTTCACACAATTAGGGTATGAAAAGTTTAAAACAGATGCAAAAAATGTAAGAAGTTATAAAAATTCTACCATTTTCCCTCAAATGTTCAAACTTCAGGTTTTGCAAACCATAATAAATAATTTCTGTACAATTCGGCTGAAAAATAAACAAACCTGCCTCAGTTTCTAAGTTAATTGATGATTATTTCAATAATCGATGCATCACGATTAGCAACTAAACAAACAAATATTATGTGGCAAACAGCAACAAGATGTAAATAATCATTGGTGTTTAGCTTCAACTATCACAGCGATACCAGTATGTTTAAAAAAATCGTCTGATACCGATATTAAAGCCGATATATCGTCCAAACCTAGAAATGATTTATGATGGTGAATTTCCAAAGTTTTACAAATCTGTAATTTTATCAGGAGTTTATATTCTACACAGCCAAGGTATCTATTATTCACCTGGTGATTATTTTATTTTGTTGACATGTAAATTGAGTATTTTTGTCTTTGTGAATTTGACTCTAAGTCATAACAGAGTCAATCAAGCTGAAACGCGCTGCAGAGAGGCGGTTCACGCAGGTCAGGAGCTTCCTGTGGAGAACTGCAGCTTTTACATCGATTTTTTCTCTCCTTTCTAACCTTGAAGACGTTTTACATAAAACAAGAAGGATTTAATCCATCAAATGAAAGTTCCTAACCCAAAAGGATAACATGACCTCTTTAATTCTCAGCATGCATCCTTTTGTTCGACTAATTTCTTTCAGAGTTATTGTCTCTTAATAACAATCAGAGAAGGCGAGAGCCCTTGAAAATATTTTACTTTAGTGGAACCTTGACGATAATCGTAACTCTCCACAGGGAACTGGAGAGAAATTAAAATGTGGTGTTTCCAGACAAAAGGATGATAATCAATAGAACGGGCATAATCTATGAGCATTTGAAGAAGAGGGATCAACAGAAGTTTTGTTTATTTGTGGAACAGTGGTGGGTTTAATAGTCACAGAGGAACACAGATAAAGTTATGAGGCAATAAAAAAAACACCTTTTATATTCATGGTTGGTGGTGTTATTCAGTCCATCAACACAAAATCTGAAATTATAAAGCTGGAACAGCGAAGGACTCAAAGAAAAACTACTGATCTCTAAAGAAACATTTAAATCTACAGAAAACACCAGGTTCTTTTGTAATTGAAAACATGGAGGTATTGATTTTATCATCTGGGTTTGTTTGATTGCACCTCCAAGCTACTGAGCAATTTATGCTATAAATCTCACAAATATCCCAAAGTTTAAGTCGTTTCAGTTTCAGTAAAGCTTTACTTTGAGTTATTAAGAGCTGCAACAATACAGGAATGCAAACCAGTGTGCTACAGTGAGACCCTGGCAGGGAATAAATGTATTATTATTATTATTATTATTATTATTATTATTACTAAATGTGTGTATTATTTAAACTTATCCTGGGTTTTGTAATATGAAGTGTTTTCATTTTATAATTTTTGTTTGATTCCTGTGAAGTGTCTGGGTTTTAAAAAATGCAATACAAATAAAAATATATTGTTCTTCTTATTGTTGTTATAAAAACTCAGCCCTAAAAAATGAAGGAAAACTTACAGATGAAGTTGACAGTGTATTTTTTGTGACAAATTATTAAATTACTAAGCTGTGTTATATCTAGTTTGACTCAAATGAATAAAATAGCATTAAATAATACAAACGAAGTGCTAGGACACTTAAAAAAATGTAAATATTATTTTTATAGTTGTTACACAAATAATAGGTTAATACCTTCCTGTTGTTTGCTGCTGCCACTGTTGGAGAAAAATAAAATATCAAACTTGTTAACTTTAAATTTATCAGCTGATGTTAAAATAACATGGTTTTAAATACCAGTCTGCCTTTCAAATTCAATATATATATTTTTCAAGTTTGCTGCTTTTCTAATGTGAAAAGCCTTAATAACACTGGTATGATGTAAGCTAATTTAAAATGATGCTAATGATAGCAGGTATGTTGCACATATAGAGGAGATTATAAATGGTTGACATGTAGGTGTAGGAGAGGGGGGTGGGGAGTATCATGATGAAAAAAGCCTTGGACCGGCCCTGTTCCCATGTATGCATAGTTTCATACATGACTGATGGCTTATCTGGTCTGCCTGAGCTGCTCTATCTGAGTGTGTGCTGGTAGTTTGTCCTGTGTGTCTCCATGTTGTCCTGTGATGGACCTGGACATCGACACCGGCCCCCCTCAACCCGGATAAGCAGGTATAGATACTGGATGGATATTTTTGCTGTAGCTACCGTCGGCTGGCTTCTTCTTCATTTCTCGTGTGTAATCAGGACGTTGTCTTATCAGGCGGCACGGCTGTCCCAGGAAGTCTGAAAGCCATGATGCAGCCTCGTCTCCGCAGTCCATCGTCTCCACCCTGGGAGACAAGAGGATTATTTTCAGGAGGCCCAGGAGGCATTTCTTCAGAGCTTCATGCTTCCTGCTATTTGCTGCGACATCTAATCCAAGAATCAGTGAGTAAATAGCGTTTTTTCTTCTTCTTTTTTTTATGGTGACATGTCATGTGGGGATATGTCAAAGGAGATTAATATCTCCTTCCTATTGTTTGTTTGGCTATTAAAAGTTGAGGACAACAAGACTTTTCTAAGAAGCAGAGAGAAGGAGGCCCAGACAAGAAAAAAAAGGCAGCACTGACAGAAGAGGAAAATGTCGATGTGTTTTCACCTGTCCCCGCAAACTTTACTGTGACACACACGAGAGTCTGCATGCAGCCGAACGTCGTCTTCCAGGGGGACCGACACGCTCTCCATCCCTGCAGGGCAAAGAGGGAGAAGAGGGAAAATCCGCTTACAGGAAAATTCGCCTGATTGAGACTTTCCTTGTTAGGCAGTGAATTTATTTTCAGTGAGACGTGCAGAGACTCTCTGACCCGACGCCTGCAGGAACAATTTGTTTGCGGCGAGGTGGACTTGTGGGCGAATGAGGCATAAACGCGTCTCCCTCTTCTGACTCAGACACACACCGTTGTGGTTCACCACCATCCAGCCTCTGTCGTACAGCAAACCCAGCGGCCCCACCGGCCAGTCCTGCACCTGCACGAAGAGCAGCACAGGGTCCAATCACACCCATAGAACCACACAAAGACAAGAAGTTGAGCTGTTATGCGCTCCAACCTCGTATGCGCTGCAGGATTTGATGGGGTAAATATAGATGTTGGTCAGAGTGTAAGCCTCCCCGGGGCGCTTTGAGCCTCCATGTCCAAATCTTTTCCGAGACGCTTCTGTGGATTTCTTCTCAGCTCCTTTGTGGATTTGTCCATTAGAAATTTCAACTGAAGGGTGTTCATTGGATTCCTCTGATGGCGACCCGGCTGTTTTCAGCTTCTGCAGCCTGACTTGGTCTACCGTGACGGGTTTCTCCACGAAGCACTCGGCAACAAACTTCAGGAAGTTTTGACAGTCTTCGAAGGTGGACATGTAGCCGAAGGACACGCGAACGGATCCGGTCGGCTGGCCGTCCACCAAGTCCATGTTGTCCCCGCAGACATGACCTGCCTTGTAGAGTAAAATAAAAAAAACATGCTTCATTTCACCTTCACTGTCTGTCATTTTCATGCAGCAAAATAATTTCTATCCTTCAAACTTTTTCACATTTTGTTACGTTGAAACCAAAAACTTAAATGTTTTTATTGGGGTTTTATGTGATGAAGCAACACGAAGTGGTGCATAATCATAAACTTCTTCTCAAGAAATACAACCAGACTGCAACAAACAATCAGCTCTGCAGACCCCACACATGCTGGACACAGACTGTTTACATTACCTTTATATTGTCTCAGATCAGCGGTGTCACACTCATCTATGTAACTTATTTTGGGTCAAGATCAGGATGAAGATCAGGAATCTTCTCAAGGTTTGGTTATGGGAGAATTTATTGATAAAACCCGTTAAAAAACTTTCAAATTATTAATTAAAGGCCTCCTTGATTTCGATGAGTACTTCTTAAAGTTAAATAATATTGAACATCTTTTCACATTAATCAGTCCTTTAAGAGTTTTGGTTGTTTTTGTGGCTTTTTGCAATCAAAATCACAGATTTTGTGGAGCTAATATAGAAATAAATGAAGAAATTTTGTGATATTTGCACTTATGTATGGCTGTCAATGTGGCTTTTTTTGTTATTCGCTGTTTGATCACAAACTATAACTTGACACCCACTAAGACTGAGGCAGGAGTAGTTGAAGTACGAAATACTGCCACCTGCAGGTGGGAGTTAGTCATTAAAACTAATGTTTTTGAACATTTTTTGCAGAATAAACTCAAAATTAAAGTAGCACAAAAAAGTGCGGCGATCTGCTGATTTTGTGTGAATATCTGCGACGGAAGAATGATTGATGTAATTTGGCAGTATACAGATAAAAACTGCTTTGATTTGATTGATTAAATAATATTTGACTGCATGACTGTTGTGTATCTGCCTAAAGTCTAGAGGGCCGCATAAGAAGCTGAGGCGGGCCGGATTTGGCCCCCAGGCCTTGAGTTTGACACATGATGACATTAAATCTGCTTTTTATTCATTAAGCCTCATTTATTAGGGTATTTCTGAATGAAATTGAGCACAACCCACTGGAGCTCAGGTTGGACATTTAACAGCTTGGAAATGTTTAACTGGTGTGGAATTTTACCCCAGAAAAGACTAACATGGAGGCAAATAGTAACTATTTGATGGAGTGTTGAGGTTAAAGAGTGCTAAACTTTTTGAATACGTTTATTTTTTCAGCTTCACAGTATTTTTTTTCAGGTTGAAGTAGTTCACAGCCTGACTGTGATATTTTAGGGTTTTAACCAGATTATTTCCTGAGGCAAAAATAAAAACAAGCCCAATCTGAGTGGATTGTTAACAGATTTTGTTCTCCGGGGCACATCTCTCAGGATTCAATTATGAAATACCTTAAAGCATCACAAACTGTGTGACACTGAGAGGATTTTATTTCTGCTCGGAAGATTAATACTTGTGAAATTTCTCAACCTCTCTCTCCTCAAAAGAGAGAAAAAACAGGAAGTCGGAGTCGTTTTTATAGTTTTCCATGGATTTTGGAGAGACTTTATATCAGGTGTCGATCAATATTTTTCAGATTTAAAGTCTCCGGGTGGCACAGTGTTGGACCCCCAGAGCGGAAACAAACACAGGAAATAACCGGAGTTAGTCCAAGAGGAAAAACATTATGGCTCTACCTTAAAACAAGCCTATTTCCAGGTGTTAGAAAAAGAGTTATTGGATTTGGATTGGGGGTGAAATGCATCGTTTTCTTCTAGTTCACAATTCTGTGCTACTTTGTCTTATTATTTCAGCATTTCCAGTGAAATGCTCAAATATAAAAAAGCTGAAGGTGAAAACGTTTGCTCCTCCTACCTGCAGGTTTCTCTTCATCTGCTGGCTGGAGATGCCGAGGAAGGCCTGGCAGGCTCCGGTGTTGCAGAAGCAACCAGTTCTCACATGAATGTTGTACAGACTGGTCATTCTGTCCACCTAGCAGCAAAGAGACAGAGAGGACTGCTGTAGCATTTCCCAGAGCTTCCTATGCATAAACATGCATTAATTAAGCAATTAAAATATGAAATGAATCCCTTCAATCACATGTACCTGTGAGTACCCAATTATCTGTCCACTTGAATCCAGGAGGTTAAAGTTCAGGATTGCTCCCTGAGTGATTGGACTCTCAAACTGGCCCTCGGTGTATATCTGCGCCACCGGTCTACCGTTGCCATGGCAAAGACTTGAGAGCAGCATGTAAGTGTAGCGTGCCAAGCCAAAAGTGTGCTGCTGGATGTTGTGCATGCTCCCTGCAGGCGAAAACAGAGAAAGACAAAAACAGTTTCAGGTTCCCATCAGGAATAAACTGGATGCTTTATGATTCTGATATTAAAAAATAACAAGTCTAACCTGTTATCCTGTAAAGAGATTCAAACGCATGGTTTAAAGCAATGATGTCCAAGAAGGAGACAGTGCCGTCTTCAAATCTTTATCAGAGAAATGAAACATGTTACAGTTAGGTCTGACATTTGTTACCGGATGATAAACTGTCACAGAAATTATTGCAATAAATGATTATATTGTTTTGAGAAAATTTTCAAGTAATGTAATGGTAAAGGGATAGAAATGCAAGAACACATTCTCAAAAACTTCAAAGAATATTTAACTCTGAAACTGGAAGACATTTTAAATATTCCACATTTTTAATTTTTTTAATTTTTGGGAGAAAGGGAAAAGAGAAAATCAATAAATCATGCAAACAGAAATTATTGAGCTTGTTTTAATTTATTATGTGATTAAGTGATTTATTGTATATTGTGACAGGCCCGGTTACAGCTCAGGATAAAAATGAAGGATCCAGAGGATTTTACTGGCTACAGCACTTCACCTGTCAGAAATGTTTTCCACCTGCACATAATAATCCTCTCCAGAAAGGTAAGCTGCTGCTGTGCCTCCTCCAAAATAAGACTTTTTTAGTATGCCTGCTGCGTCGTTACGGACAAGAAGAGCCCCCAGACCCGAAGGGAAGCCGAATATCTTGTAGAAGGAAATGGGAATGAAATCAGCGGGGCAGTCCTGAAGGCTTAGAGGGGAACAGCCGACATGCGAAGCTGCATCGAGCAGCACGAACCAGCGGCCTGGCAGGTCGCACGCCGGGTAGAGGCGTCTCGCCTGGATGCCTCTCACATGGCTGAGAGGATACTTCCTCCCTGAGAAGTTGCTCTGCGCCGGGTAGCAGAAAAGGTGCGGCGTTTGGCAGGAAGCATCTTCTCCCTGAACTCTGTCCTTTGCCCTGGTTGTCAGCTCCTGCGGGGCAACGGGAAGGGCAACGACCCCCAGGGCTGCAGTCCGTCCTCTCATGCCAACAACAGACGTGTGGCTGTCGGTGAGATAGCAGAAGAAACTGCCAGCCTCCCTCTTAGCACCGGAGCTCCAGGGAAAGCTCTCAGCCACCAACTTGAGAGCAGCTGTGCAGCCAGAAGTGAAGATCACTGAGTATTCTTTGGAGGTGGTGTTGAAATGCTGCAACACTCTGCAAGAAGACAGTCAGTTTTTAGTCATTTGGACTGGAGTATGCCAGAGCTGCTGAGTTACACGGCGAGGCGCTACCTGTCTCTGACCCGCTCCACGGTGTCGTGTGTCAAGCTGCTGCTGGGACTGTGGCTGTGGGGGTTTCCTGGAGAGAAAAAGGCCAAAAGCTTTTCAAGAATTATGCTGCTGTAAAACCCAGGCTGAGGGAACATTTTAGTATTTATTTTTATATTTATTTCATTTCATACTAGTGGCTTATTTTATGATACTTATTTTGTAGAAGTATTTCATGTACTTCAGGTTTAACTTCACTAAAGCTGCAGTATGCAACTTTTCTGTTAAAACTGTCACCACGTTGTGACAGTATAATATGAGACAGATAATCTTTGAAAAATCAATTTCCTCCACCTCTTCCCTGAGCTGCTGCAGCTGTCTGAAGAAATGCAACGCCAAAAACAACCAATCAGAGAAGGAGGAGGATCTTAGCACTGTCAATCATCCTTGTGAACGTGCTGTTAAATGTGCTACTGGTGGAGAAACAATCTATTATTACAGGCAAACTGTTCACTGGCCTTAGCTAACAGCTTTAGCATTCACAACAAGCTGTACTTGTGGCAGAGAACAAGGGAGCAGTGCATACATAGACATGATTGACTGCACTAAGACCCACCTCCTGGCTCTGATTGGTTGATTTTATTTAGCACTGGGATAAGGAAGCACAGCTTGATGTTTTCACAGATTATCTGTGTCACACCATACTCTCATAACATAGTGACAGTTTCAACAAATGTGTAAAAAAATATTTTTTTTAAAAATTACATGCTGTAGCATTAACTGAGAGGGCTGAGTTTTCTCTGTGAAGTGGGTCACAAAATAAATATTGTTATGAAATAAACAAATAAATGAAAAAAAATAATAAAATATAGGACATAAAGGAATCCTGAAATGAATAGAGTAAATGTGATTGATGGGAAAAGTTCCCAACTAAACATATTTTTGTTTTTATTTCATGAGTGTTTATTAGTTATTTGTAAATAGTATTTATTTGTTTATATATTTATTGTTGAATGTAATAGTATTTATTAAATACTATTTAAATAAATACACAGTATTTATTTGTTTATTTATTTATTGTTGAATGTAATAGTATTTATTTAAATACTATTTAAATAAATACATAGTATTTATTTGTTTATTTATTTATTGTTATTTTTTGAAAAATGAAAAAAAGCTTGAAAAAAGTCAGAACTCTGAAAAAAAAAATCTAAATTTTAAGAATTCTGGGATTAAAAGCTGAATTCTGACTTTTTTGGTCCTAATTATCTTCCGTAGAATTCTTACGCCGTACAAATAGTTCGGTTCTGTTAAAACGGACATGGAGAGTGATAGACCTGGAGGTCCTCTGGGCCATTCCCCATCCTGATGGTGGCACTATTAACTAATGATATGTATTCTGGTACCGAATGAAACAAAAAACACAAAAATGACACTTTCTGACTTTTCTCACCGTACAGATTCGTGGAAATGTCCCGGAAGTAGTCTCTGAGCAGAGACTCCGGGTACAGAGTGGCTGCAGCATGATCCAGATATGCAACTCCTGTTTGTTACAGAGAAAACAGGCCTGTTATATTTGGATCCAGCTGTCCTCCGATCAGCGCGGCGAACCGTCTCTACCTTTGGACCTTCGGAACTCCTGCTCCACCACGTCCCGGAAGTTCCCTCCGTAGCCGTATTGATCGCAGCATTGCTGGAAAGATTCAAAAGAACAGAGATCGTGGAAATCCATCGTGGGGTCCGGCAGCTGGACGCACTTCAGCACACTGCTACCGTCATTATCAGCTCCAAAGTCCAGAGATAAACACCGACTAACGGGTTAAAGTCGCTCTTTGTGTTTCTGTTACCGTCCGGAACCAGAGCCTGCGGGCTGGTAGGACGGACAGTGGACGGTCACATGCGGACATGTGAGGAATCTCAGACATGAGAGGGAGTTTGCTCCGGTTCTGACTTCATTCAGTCCGGAGCCATCTTCAGATACTCCGGTTTAATAACTGATATACAGTTGGAGTCAGAGGCGGTTCTAGATGAGGGCGACCCCCCCCCCCCCCCCCCATGCAGGGCACACTGCAGCCTCAAGTAGAAATAAAAAGCACCAACACAATGACTGGAGTAAGGGAAAAAAATTCAAAAGGGATGTCAACAAAAAAGTTTTGGGATTTTCAAGAATATTATCAAATAAAAATGGATCCAAAATAATTAACCTTATTGCAAACTAACACATTCACTCAGGATTAAGCCAGGAAACTTTCTTCATGCAGAACCTTTCATAGGTCACAAACCACAAAGTGCTTTACAATAAAACAAGCATTAAAAACAGAAGACATCCCTGAATCACACTTTTCCATGTTTGAAACCAATAATTAGAGGACATTTGTTCCAATGAAGCTTTATTGATAACCTTTAAGCATTACAGGTAGTTTTTCCTTAAGCTCAAAATTCTGTTATTTTTATTATTATTATTGGTCTGATGTAATATTCAAATCTTAATTGGTTAATTTACATTTACAGCAAATGGTTTTCATTAGCTGCAAGTGGGAAATAATGACAATTAACAGAAACAAAGACTGGAATTAATCTCTGTAGAGTTGTTCAGTGTTTATTTATTCAGTAAATTATTAGCAGAAAATCTGCCTACATGATCTATCTATCTATCTATCTATCTATCTATCTATCTATCTATCTATCTATCTATCTATCTATCTATCTATCTATCTATCTATCTGAGCCATATGGAGCTACAGTAATGCAGTAAATAATTTTCACTGGAAATACTTTGCACTGCTCTAACGGATCTGAATCTCATGCTGTATGTATTGATTTGTGAAAAACAAAAGATTTGGAAATATGCTTCCTTTGACTAAATTTGTTAGTGTTATTTATTTTTACTCACTTTAAAGAAACACTTTACTTGTTTTATACTTTTTCTTTTTGATTACATAATTTTAATCGTTTTTTTTCACTCCTGCATGAATAATATTTTAGGTTGAATTTATGATATAGTTAATAAAATCTGTAATTTAATTCTGGCTGTAATTATTAGCACAATTAGTCTGTATTTAAATATGTTGTGATTCGCAGAGGACGATGACTCCTTGTCAGAGTTTGTTTCTGTGTCTGTATCCATCTGCTCATCTCTGCTCCTCTTCCTCCTCCTCCTCTTCCTCACATCATCTTGTAATGCATATACAAGGATCACTCAGATGAGTCATCTCCATCTCTCTCATCATCTGACAGGTCCAAGTATGAATTTCCCCCGGCTGTCTGCCACAGAACCCTTTCTGTCTCCGTTCTACAACAACGTCGTGTCACAGAGTACAACCAGGCTGCCTCAGATTTTACTATCACTGACACAAAAGGATTGTGTTCCTGAAGTCCAGACGGCTCATCTGGAGATGTGTGCATTTTCATTCCTTTTCAGAACACCCAGCTCTTGTTTTTGTTCACGTATTTCCATTATTATGCTGTCTAATGTACTTTGGTGGTAAAGAACAGTTTCCCTGCCCATCATCTGTCATTACCAGAAGAACTTCCTGTTCCAAATGGATAGATTAGAACAAAATGTCTACCGAACTGTTCAGGAGTTTGAGAGTTTATTCAAGTAAATGCTATTTTTCTGCAGCGTATTATTAAAAACGAACATGTTGAGATTTTTATATCAACTCTAAATTATCCTCATTTCAATTCTACAAAAACTTTAAATCAAGTTTATGAAGGCTGGTAAAGAACACTTCAAACTATATTCAGTATTAATCCAGACATTAGAAATATTGGGTATTGATGACAGAGCCGGCCCAAAGCATAAGCTCAGGGCCGCCAGAGCATCATGGGCCTCCAAGGACAGTTTGAATTTTAGCACAGAACTTAGATCTGAAATTAAAATATTTACTTCATGACAATTAGAATACTGTTAAAGTTTCAGCATAAATAAAAAACAGATATAGCATAAAAAAAAGCTAAAGAAATTTTCTAACTGAAATTTAAGATTTAAAGGACTTGGAAAGTTTCCTTTGTAGAAGTACAAAGAATAGTTTTAATTGGTTGATTGTTGTGTTACCATAGCAACAATCTGACGCTGCGAATTGTCTCAGATATTAATCGGTTATCCATGATTACCATAAAGCTCCGCCCACTCTCTCCCAGTTTCCACCAAATTAGCATCGAAAGCCTTTAAATGGTGAAGATCTTCCAGACAAGCAATAGAAAACTTGTTTGGGACGTTCCTGACTGATTTCTCTTGGAGATCCTCAGGCCATGCCACCCTGGGTGGCGAGCCACATCACTTGTATTAAAATCTGTTCATATTTTGTACTGAAATATGAAAATATCACCTGCTTAAAGTAAAACGATTTGAGATTACATGTTGTGAATTGGCACATAGAATCTCATGGGGATAAATTTACAGTTGTAACCTGAAAATGTTTATGTTTTCATGGTACTTGGCTTTAATAAACTATTATGAGTTTGAAGTAGACAATTAGATTCAGAGATACTGCAGTTTTTCTCATAAGAGCAGAATTACCTGTAATTGAAGACGCTCCGTTCTCCTGTGATCATCTGTTCCTTCTTTCTGAGTGAATATCACTATCAGGCGGAAGAAGGATGCCACTTGTAAAGTGGATATAATGCGTTCCTAGATATGTGCTAGACAAGCCATGAGGCCATTATTGTCTTGGTGCGACGCTCTGAATGATAATTAAATATGCCACTTCTGCTTCACTGATTCATTTCCTTCACAGTTTCTGAGCCCAGATGAATACATTTTTCAGCGCAGAATGGTTTTATTGTATCCAGTTTGGCCTCATTACGAGGCCACAAGGGCTTGTTGTGGGGGGAGGGCAGAGGCCGCGTGGAGGGAGGGTGGCGGGGGGCGCACCCCATGAAGACATTGTGCTTAACATCACTAAATACTTCAGACGCCACATTGTTCTCCATCAGTTAGGTTATTTGTAAGCAGGCAGGAATCTTTCTGAGATCCTAATGAGAGCCGCAGCCGTCCTGCAGGGTCATAAAGACTCGTTGGTTAACAAGGCGTCTCTTCACTGTCTCCCTGAGAATCCTTGATCTTCTCGGGTTTTTCTCTGCTGCTGATCGCTGAGTCTGTGCTGGACGGCGTCCAGGCGGCGAGCCTCCTCACCCCTCGCCCTGCCGCCGGGCCTCGTGGATCTCCGGTCAGAGGAACGCCTCCTCGGTGGCTGTGACAGGGGGAATTAGGCGAGAGATGCGGGCCCACTTGCCCTGCCTGCGTAGGGGCTTATCTCGCTCTAAGCTGAGGGACTAATAGCAAAGCCTGCCTTCGCTCCAGCCGCTCTGAGGGCACAGGGAGCCATCTGTCCACTCTGTGGATCACTGAAAAACAAAGGGAGCAAACACCGAACTCGGACTTCAAACTAAAAGGCCATTCATCCCAAAGATACCAGAACCAAAGAAGACGGGTAGGAATTTCTCCCACTCCAAGGTCAGTTTGGTCAAGAGCCGGCCTTCGTGGCTGCAGGTTGCTCAGATGGCTGTTAATGGTAATGCTGAAGCTTAGCCAGAGAGAAACTTGAAGGTATTGCTTCTGCACATCTAACGGGCGCCAGACAAAGCAAGGCTTTGTTTTAACGCGCTACCCCTGACTCCTATTAGGCTGAGATATTTTCAGCTTCGGCTTGTTTTTCACTCCTCTCCTGGGTTTTCCTCTTAAACTCTTCACTTCAAACAGCCCAGGATTATTTGAATTTAGACCTAAAGCCAAACTTCTGATGTATCTCCGTTGTTATAACCTTCATGATGAGTTCTGTATCGCCTCATGATATGTGGAGGCTCACAAAATGCTATAAATAGTCGCCACTCCAGATAGTCACGCTGTAATCTCTCTCATGGGCTGTTTGAACATTTTTAATGTGATAATTGTCACATTTCATTAAATATAAAGTGTGCTTTTGTTGATCTGAAGACCCCTTTAGAACAAAGTGGAATACAGTATGTAATAAAGCGCAACTCATTGCTATAGCATCACATTGTTCAAAATTAGACATTCCTTACTTTACCCTTAGATTTTGTATTCATAGTCTAACAAAATCCCTCCAGTAATCCACTTAGACATTGTTCCCCATTTCCCTCCAGGATTAAGGCCCTGTGTGTGTGTGTGTTTTAATTGTCTGAGGCATACTTCTGTCTGTCAGCGTTCACAGAGCAGTTTCCCCACAGGTGATCTCTTTTTTATCGTGTAAACTCTTCGGTTGCCGTTGTGCACCAGGGTTTTGTTCAGAAGTCTTGACTTGCTGGGGTTGACAGAAATAGGTCAAAAGGGTCTTAGCATTAACTAAACAAATCTTGGGCCTGCAGGATTAGAGCGAGACGCCGCTGTTTGTTTGATGTAGTCATTGTACCGACACACAGAGACGGGAACGCTGTGGATGTTTGCTGAAAGATGTCCGTCTCTCTTTTATTTTTTTGTGTGTGTTTGATCAGATGGTTGAGATTTGTGCAGATTCATCAGCTGGGATTGTTTCATTTCCTGATCCTGTTAATTTACTGCGTTATTTGGGTCAGTTGATCCTGACACATTTCATGATGATTATCGCTAACTGGATTGTGCCGTTGGTGGTCTGACTGACTCAGTTTTTAGTGCTTTCCATGTGTTAAATAGTGAGGTTTCTCTAAGGTAGGATTTATAGAGGAGTTTGAATTATAAGCTGTAAATTGCACAACCAAGGAAAAGTAAACAGCATCTATTGAAGCAGAAACCCGAAGTTTACATACAACAAATAAAAAGACAACAGATATTTTTTTTTATATATCTGTTGGTAAACCAGACCAAACTTTTAGGTCAGTTAGAATCACCAAATTTATTTCTATTTGCTAAAAGTTTCAAGGATTTCTTTCATCTTTGATAAAACACCACGGGTCATTTCTCCCACTAGTCCTAGACTAGCATGTTTGTTTTGGTTGCATTTACCCAGAATGCCCTGTGATATAGTCCACTTCCTACTTTTAGACCTGGCTCTGGTCCAGTTCGTGTTCACATATGCATTCAAACTACATCAGCTGAGTTCATTTCAACCAATCCCAGACTGAGGTTTGTAGACAGATCAGAATTAGCTTCTTTGGTTTGCATCAGAGTTTGATTGGCATTCACACCTTCCCAAACGAACCAGACTTTCCAGACACACCAGCTAGATTTCAATTAAAGCGGACTAAACAGGGCTCAATATCTGACTACAGCTTCCAGTTGTTTTTTATATATACATTAATTCCCTGCAAAAGAACGATTCAGTGGAAGATTTAAAAACCATGTATTAATATGCGGTTTATGTCCAGGATGGCAGAACAACATCAAAACATGCTTTAACCGGATTAGCAGCTGTGGAGCCCCGCCCCTTACTCCAGTTCTGCTGGATATGTAAACCACACATCTCTGTTTTTGTCTGACAATGACAAAGCAAGATATCTGAGTT